TGATAAATGTATTTTTAATAAGACTTTTTTTGGTTATTTTCAGACTATTCAAAAGTTCATCTAACACAGCTGTTGGAGAAGGCCGAAGTGATTGCAGGACGGATGCTTAAATTTTCTGTTTTTTATCGTAACCAGCACAAAGAATACTTTGACTATATTCGGTAAGGATCAAAATATGTACACTGATTTGCTTTACTAAGTGCCATTCCAAATTTCTAGCTCAGGTTTCCCGAGTCTGCTTCTGTGAAACAGCAATTTCATCTTTCTTCGCAAAACAGTTGATTATACTCTGACTTTTATTTCCCAGAAATAATTAAGTAGAAAAAGTCAGATTGTGGGATGTTTTTTCCGCTTCACTTAGATTCCTTTCCATAATCACTTGTAATACCAGTTGCTATCAATTTGAGTGGAAGATCTTAAACCTCCAGGGTTAAGACTGATGAGCATTTCATATACAGGTACACACTCCCCTAATTCCCAATAAGTCAGTGCCTTCTGTCTCATACAAACTACTAAATTTTCTCCTTTTCTTATGGGTTGCTGAAAATGAGAGAATAAAAGTGTGACCCTTTAATTAAATATTGTGGTGAATCAGGTGAGATTTTCAGGCTTATGCCTACACAGAAATCTCTCAGCCATTATCTTGGGTTAATTATTCATGAGGAAAATCTGTTTACTTTTGAATTCTAGTGTTCATAAGATATCTTAGAAATACTAGATGTTTATCCCTGGAAGCAGTTTCCAAGAATTCAAAAGAATTTCACACTACAAGTAGTTTTAATACTTACAGCCCTTTAATATTTATAGGAAGTTTCAGGAGAGTGTTTTAAAGTGAGACTGAAACTTTTAAATTGATAAATGCTATATAGGTTCTAAAACTTCTACATGGTAACCCTGTAAATTGTCATTTTAAATGCTTTAGTCTCACTTTAAAACTCAAGTATTCTTGACGGGATTGTATATGAAAAAAATTTAGGAAGTTTTGTTATTTTTTGCTTAACTCTAGTTTTTCTTAAATCAAAATTGTGGTTCCAGATCTAAATAAGCTGCAAGCTGCAGAAATGCAAAGGGAATCACAGAGGAATGAATTTAGGCATGTGTGTTCTTCAAATTGAGTACTTTGTAATATATATTTTTATATTTTTTATCGTGAAAATTTTTCCTGCCTTCTGTTGGAATATCCTATACAGAGTTTAGTCCATAATTTGCTTAGCTGGAAAATTATTTACCTCTGACTATATAGTTCATGGCAGATGCCATTGATCTAATTTAGAGAATATGCACTGGGAGATACAACACAAACTACACCTGTTGATGTTGAATAGGGATGACCATACATACTTGGTAAGAAAGGCATTTCCTTATAGTTGTTAAGCATAAAATTAGAAATAAAAGATCCACTGTTGCTATTTTCTTTAATAATACATTAATAGGATAAATCATCTTTGGTACTAGGCTGATTGCTGGACTATTGCCAGCGTTTGCTGTAGGTGGCCACTAGAGGTCACCAGTTCTCTGATTTTTTTTTCTCTGTCCTCTGGGAATTGGCCTTCTGTTTCCAGGTCCTTGCATACTCTAGAATTTGTTCCATTTGTTTTCAGAGATCCTTCCAAGAAGAAAAAAGATAGAGAGCATGGAAAATGGAAAAAATTGTTGTATATATGATTGATTCCAATATATTAGTATGAAAGGTGTATTTACTAACAAGGAAATTTACCTCTTGGATTTTCCATGATAGTTGTAAAATCCATGTAAATTATATTTTGATGCAGTATATGTACATATATTTACACACACACATATACACACTTGCCAAAGCATGGGTACAATTTTTCAACATTGGTTTTTTAAAAAGCTGTATTAACTGAAGCTACGTTAGCATCAGTGAATCCTATCCTTTTAGGTAATGCACTCTGTAATCAGTGCACACTTTATCAGGATTAATTTAAAATGTCATATTGTTATTCACAGTGCTTGAATAGAAAGGAACCTTTCACTTAGCTGACACTTTCCAAATCATTGAGTTATGCAAAAACCCTAGATAAATTCTGACTCAGTTCACATGGGATGAACTCATTTTGGTATCTTCCTCTAGAAATGAATTCCTAAATGAATATTGCTTTACCTTACCCCAAATCAAAATATGCTCTCTCTTCAAGTTCACTAGGTAGTCTAACTGTCCTTAAAACACCTGTCTCTGAAGGTTTTCTCTTCAGGAATCCACTGAGATGGTAGACACGTATAAGAACTCCAGCACTTCCTGGTGCTAGACTGTATTTCCTCAAAGATGACGTTTGTCACTGGTGTTAGGGCATTTCTCGTAGCCGGAGCACCTGTTGAGATTTGGTCAAGGCTAGAATTTAGCCACCTATAGGTAATGTCAAAAGATGCATTATCCTTGATCTGATGGTAGGATGGATGAGCACTCAGGCTTTTAATACCAGACAGTTGACGTTCAGGCCTATCACCATTGAATGCTGCACATCAGCAGCTTTACCACAGCTGTACCAAGCAGTGACCATTTGTTTTCTCTTGCAGAGAGCATCATGGGAATGCTATGCAGCCCTCTGTCAAGGATAACAGTGGCAGCCACGGTTCTCCCATCAGTGGAAAACTAGAAGGCATCTTCTTCAGCTGCAGCACTGAATTCAATACTGGCAAACCACCGCAGGATTCACCTTATGGAAGATACAGGTTTGAGGTTGCGGCAGAAAAACTTTTTAACCCCAATACTAACTTATACTTTGGGGACTTCTACTGTATGTACACTGCTTATCATTATGTGATTCTTGTTATTGCCCCAGTGGGATCACCAGGAGATGATTTTTGTAAGCAGCGCCTTCCTCAACTGAATTCCAAGGATAATAAATTTTTGACCTGCACAGAAGAAGATGGGATGCTGGTTTACCACCATGCCCAAGATGTCATTTTAGAAGTCATTTACACTGACCCTGTGGATCTTTCTCTAGGCACCGTGGCAGAAATCACTGGTCATCAGCTCATGAGTTTGTCTACTGCAAATGCAAAGAAAGATCCCAGCTGCAAAACCTGTAATATCAGTGTTGGACGCTAATGCCCACTTTTCTTATTCTTAGTCCTTTTCTTCCCTTAGGAGCGTTGATCCTCTGTTGTCCATTTTCATCACCAGATGTTTTCCACTGACGCATGCACATGCCACTATCACCAAAAGCAAACTGCCACTTTTCAAATTTCATTCAGAGCTGTTTTAGTGTTTCCCATTCCCTGCCTTTCCCACTACTTTCAATGATGAAATAGCCTCAGTTGTCCTTCTGACACTTTCTTGCCTAGATGCTGCAATGTTTTTATTTTTCCTTTATGCCAAACGTAACAAAACAATTACATAAACTGCTTTAGCAAAATATAAAATAATAGCTTATAAATGGTGTTTAAATATGCACTCATTTTAATCTACTGAACAAATATTGGGATAACTCCAAACCGCATGAAAGGGTGTAATTGCAGCATGAGTTAAATCCTGAAGCTTAGAATTGTCAGCACTTCCAACTTGTTGTTTGACAGTGTTATTTATGTTATTTATATTAGCTAACAGGAAACTACTGTGTTTCAACATAATAAATATAATAGAAAAATATTTTATTTGTATTGTTGTATAAAATATTTACAATCTTATAGAATATATAGAGTTACATTTTAATAGCAATTGTATACATGTCATGAAACCATTTCCCTTATCAAAGATGTAGTTTGTAAACCTCAGATAGCTGTGTAATCTGTCCTGTTACAAGTAGGTGACTTAATTAAACAAATGTATGAAGGACATTATTCTGATTCATACAAGTTATAAACCACCAGGTAAATACAGAGAAAACAATAACCCCATGAAAGTGTGCTTCTGAAAAGTCAATACTCTTCCCATCCAAACTATATGAAAATGTGAATACAAACATGGTTGTTGGTATTAAGAGAAAAATGTTGACCTTTTACTTATTTTTATATAAGCAAAAAGTAATAAATATGTGGTTTGGTACAAAATAATAACAAAACAATATACACTAAAGTTCATGAAGTAAATCAAATACTCTGTCTTCACTTCCAAGGTGTCATAACAAACCATTTTCCAAACCTTTCCTTTTATACAGAATGAGGAACAACTACAGCTCATGAGAAAGTTTTTTGACTTTACAAAGACCTTGGAACATTAAGAAAAACACGTATTCCCAATGGAAAAATAGTTATATAATCTTAGAGTAAACAAAACAATTAGCAATCATAACTGTGATCACATTAATTATATACTACAGACACATCTATCCAAAATACCTATTTTCAAATTTCGATACAATATTTTAATATAAACATCTCTCAGTTATAGACAAAGATAAATGCACAAAGTACATGCTATCAGAATGAACTTTGGTAATCAGAAATGTAAAATTTTAAGTAACATAAAATACTGTGCTATTTTTATATAGAAATAAAAAATTAGCAGTAACACACTCTAGTATATTTTAGGGTGCTTAAAGCTTAGCAGACTTAAGGGACAAGGTAGTAAATTTTTTTTGTCACTTAAAAAATCTATTAGAAGTTTCAAATAAATTACATTCTTACTAGCTGTATTCCTTCCTACATGAAATTAAGAGTTTCTCTTCTTACTGATATTTTAAAGTCATGCTGTTTTCCATATGCCAATATAAGCAAACTTTCGACACTAAATAGACTCTATCTGACAAGTGACCCATTGAACATGGTGATGCTTTGTGTTATTTAGAGTTGATAAAATAGCTGTTTTCTAACATAATTATACTGAGTTTTCTCCTTGTCCTGGAGAAGGCTGAATTTTATTTTCCAATTATACTGTTACTTGTATTTTCCCCCCATTTTACTCCCTTCTGTTCTTAAAACAGCTAATACTACCACTAAAGTGCTTCAGTTTTCAGTTGTCAAAAGTACTTAGCAAGAATGGCAGAGGAAGATAAACGACTCTCTCAGGTGAAAGCAATCACAAACATTTTCTGTACCTCAGATAGTTTTGGCCACATCCTGCTTGCTGATGAGGACCTCTAACAGCCTCAGTTTGGCTTTGATGTGCTTGTATTCATAGTACTCATCTGCCATGGGTATCTTATCTTCCTTTTGTGGACTTCTGCAAAAAAAAAAAAATACCATCTATTAGTTCATAAGGAACCAAGTCATTAAAAGTCCTTTTTGAATCCTTAAATGAAAAAAAGGACAGGGTAGCAGTTTCTACTTGATTTCTACATCTTTTTTTTTTTCCCTTCCCTTTCATCTTCATTCACTCCCTCATCCATGTGTTACTAGGTCTCAATATAGCAGTACTTTTTGAGAAGCTAAGTATCATAGGTATTTTGCAAATATGATCCAGTGCATAGACATATAACATTGAGGCAACTGAAAAGGTCTGAGTAAAAAATAAAAAAATCAGAACCTTCAAGGCATTTCTTATCTAGTCATTCTCCCATTACCCACACCACAGTTCCATGCTGTGCAGTGTTTCGTCTTTAGAGTGATAGTTGTTAAAAATATCAACCAAAAAATACTACAGAAATTATACTAATAGAAACAACAAATTTATAGTAATAAGAGAAAAACTCAGTATCTACCTTAAAAACATGAAATATTTCTAAGTTTTCTTGTAATTATTATATCTGTCTCTGCTACTGTATAGAAGAACCACTGAGAACTGAGAATTTCCTTTAAGGAATTTATGAGTCTAAATTGTAGTGATTCCCTTTGCACACTAATTCTACTAAGACCAGGTACATGATGATGCATCTGTTTTTATAAAAATGCATTTTAACTACTACACGTTCTTGACATTTACTTTGAAGAATACTTGGGTAACACCTGGAGTTCAAACTATTTGCCTTCCCACAAAAATAAACTGATTGCCAGGATATGTTTTCTAAAGGACAATAGCTACTTCAGGATCTCAGAAGGGTCTTTTCTCCTTACTTAATAAAGATGGCCAATTGCTTTTAGAATATTCCATCCGTAAGTCTGAAGTACGAAGGGTGGAAAACACACGTGAAGTCTCCACAATTGCTACTGAAAATAAGCACGAGCACTCTCCAATTAGACCACCGGGCAGGCAGCAAGCACGGGACGTTCCACCTAGACCCCGTCTACTTTCCCAGTACTGATAAGATGACAAATAAAAGAACCGTTAATCTATAAATAGAACCCCTAAGAATGTAGTTATCTACTGGTGGTGTAACACTGTATGCTGCCCTGAAATAATCTTGTTCAGAACAGAGAACAATGCTCAAATCTATACACGGGGTTCTTTTTAAATGTTGTCTCAGTTACATAATTCTTTGCCTCCATTCTGTGTTCTGGGCCAAACTTATAACTGGGTGTCTAAATACCATCTTAATTTGTGTAAACAGATCTAAGTGAAAAAATGGTCTAATTTACATGGAAACACTAATAGTCCATTATGTAATTTTCTCTGGCCCTGCATACTCCATTTTGGCTAATAAACCAGGGTACACTGGCCAGAGTGAAAATTTTTTCAAAATATTTCCTTAAGCAGTTTTCCCATTATATAAAATACACTACTGTTTAGCACAGTTCTTGGCTCATAACTTAATAATGTCATATCTATATAATTATGCTTCTTGCATGGTGAGTATTACCAAGAACATTCACAGTACCTTAGAATTTTTAATAATCCATTTGCATGATTATTTTACCTATGGATAGTTAACCTTTCCCAATGAAATGTTTTAGGAAAATAAGATTAAGATCCGTATTTTCTAGCCATTCAACTATTTGACTTTACTAGTAACATAGCACCGCTTCTGCAGTTAGTTTAAGTGTGTTGCCACAAGAGGGCATATAACCTCAGTCAACTATCAGGCGCATGTGAAGTGGGTCTGGGACTCACTTGTGCACAGAATGCTAACAAGCAGAACATTAACTTCCCCGTATGTGGAAAGGCATGCAAGTGCTGCTGCAGACCATTAGGCAGGACCACTAACACATGGGGCAGCTCTCCAACTCTTCAAATTCCTGGGTTCAAATAGGTTAAAAAGATGTAAAAATTGTATGGTAATTTTGTAAAGGCAGAAGTAGAAATGGAAAAAGGAAACAAGAAATTACGTCTCATGTTCTAAATTTAACAGCCATATAACACTCCTCACTAGATAGTTAGCAGCAGCAGCAAGGTAAGTACTTTGGACTTATAGTCACCAACTGGAAGGAAAGATTCCAGCCAGAACACTTGGTGGGCTACCTCTGTACTTGCGGAGTGGAAGAAGTCTGACAGGTCTAGTCCGAGCGAGCAAGCCCTGGCGACCTGAAACGGAAAGTTACTAAGAGGTGGCAAGACTAAGCTTTCAAGCCGCTTTTAGAAAACAGTCCCTTCTCAGTCAGGGCAACCCTCGGGCTGCTGAAGTCAAAGCCATTCAGGAGAGGCAGGCACCTAGACGGAGAAGAATGCTGAGGAGCGAGTGTATCACTGACGCCCATCACTGACTCTGCCACCTTAACAATTTGACTTTGGGAAAGTTAAAGACTGATGTCCCACGTGACAGCGACAGCTTTCCAAGGAATCCCAGGGACTCCAATCATTTCATTTTACAACTGTGGGAACAGGCTCAGGACAGCTAAGTGACCTGTCTCTGTCTCTTATAACCTTTAGATAATAGATAATAACCCTTATCTCATGATTTTATACATATATACATACATACCTATAATTATATATACATATATATAAATATATATAATTTTGATGGTACACCAAAATTTCTAAGAAATTAATGGAGTGCATAAAGAAACGTGGGTTGACATAGAAAAGTAGAGGATGTAACTAAACATTTATTTAAGGGATAGAAAGAATATAGCTGTGAATGTTTGACGAAACTCCTGAAATAAAATAATTAAGGGTAGATCCCGATGCTTGAAGTATATATGCAAATGAAGAATTATTTAAGTAGGGAATAAATTGTGGAACTAAGGAACTAAGAACAAAGAAGTTATATGGGCTGAAAAATTGATTTTTTAAAGGGTTAAATAAATTCAATAGCTATGATGAAATTTATTATGCAAAGTTGGGGGCTTGGGAAGTTCACCTTTTTTTTTAAATCTTGGTGTCTCATACCTGATAGCTACAGCCTCCCATAAAACATACCCAATAACAGCACTGTTAGAATGTTGCATTAAACAAATCCTGGGTCTAAGTCACTGTGCAGATTATTTAGGTCTTGTATAAAGTCACTGTTCCTGCAAAAAAATTGCAACTCACTCTTACAAGTAGTTTTCTAGGCAATATTAGCTCAGAAATATCTCTGCCTATACTTACCTTCCTGTTTGTTTAAAAAACTGTTCCTCAAATTCTCTTAAGGCTTTCCGAAGTCTCTTCTTGTCAGCCCTAGTTTCTCGGAGATGATCGAGAAGTACAGGCCTGTGTCAGGTAAAACACGTACTTGCCGTTAGTGAGCTCCAGCGTAACTGATTATCATGAGCTGACTGACCTGTTTAGCAAAAGTATATTATGATGTAGAAATGTTCTGCCTACAAGAGTGTCTTCTAAGTTTGGCACATGTAGAGCCTGACCAAGGGAGCACATCACAGAGGAAATAACTTGATGAAAACAACGTCATAGGAAAAGAGAAAGGACAGACAGGAGGCAAGTGGACTGAGTCCATTATAAAAAATAATGAGAGTAAAGGCCTTATGAACTCATGAGGGAGAGACAGACATTCCGGAGGAATACTCATCAGTATTTGGTGACAGACTAAACTTAAGAGGCACAGGAGGAAGAGATTTTAAAGAAAATTCTATCCTTCATCTAGTATAGAGAGAGAATGGCAAAACCCTTGGGAATGAAACAAAGAGCCAAAGAAAAAAGCTGTAATTCTGTTGCAGGTTCTACTCCGTTCTCCTAAGAGAGAAATTTACAGCAGGAATTTTCATCTGGGGAACTTATATCTGGTTTCAGAAACGTTCTGAACTTCCTTAAATTATATATGCACATTTTCCAAAAAGAAAAAGATTGCATTGCTTTAAAAAAAAAAAAAGTCCTAAAAAAAAAAAAGTCCAACACCCAGCAAAAGTTAAGAATAGCTGTTTTAGAACCACCAGCAAATGGAGGGAGGGAGGAAGGAAGATTGATACTCTGCTTCCAAACAGATCACTCTTCCCTGAGCTGAAATTGGGGTACCAACTGATACAAGCACAACTCAAATCTCAGCTTACAGCTTAGTCCTTGGTCTTGCTCCTTATTTGTGGGGATTCCATCCCTATCTTGGGGCATACACTCACTACAATATAATACATGTTCAAGAAAAATCTCATAATCTGGCCTATAATACACAAACCAAAGAAGGCCAAGTGATCAAGAGGAATGCCAGCTACTGAATAATGGTAACAATAATGATAATATTAATGAAAAGCCAAATAGCTCCTGACTGAGGGGCCATTAGGATAAAAAGGTCAGCTCATTTACTTGAGGCCCAGTCTGGAGAAACCATTTTATCTAAATGGTATAGATTAGGATAAAGCCTTGACAGCTGTGGACCCAACACTGGATCCCAGTTCCTTTTGGTCCAGCATTTTCAAAGGGCAACTCTGCTTCACACGGCGCCAAGCATTACACTGGGGCCAGACCCCGCTGAAAACGTGCAACCATAGCAAACTGAACGTTAGCGTTCATGACATCTTTAGGATCTTATCAGAAGCCTTGGTTCCTCGTGGCTTTGTTGTCCCTATTTTTCTGGCAAGAGGACAGATAACCAGATTGTGCTTTTAAGGCTTCTCTCTGGTAGACAGTATTTTTAGAGAGTTTAATAGCTCTTCTGAATTTTGTGTGCACACATAAGGTCCCCCAGACCAGAGGAGTTAAAAGGAAAACTCCACACTTAGGATTCACACTCACATGGTGGCCTCGTGTAAATTGGACATGGAGAGGGCTGGCTGTTTGACTTCTTTCTTTTCATCTGGCAGCAGGACCCTAACAGGCTCAGTCTCACTAGGGTAGGTGAGGTGGTCGCCAGCAGGGAGGTGGGATGCTGGATTTGGCAAAGAAGGTTGTGGGCTTCCCTGTGGACAGTCTTCATCAGAGTCTTCTTCCTCCTGCTTATCATAGGAAGAGTTAAAGTCACAAAATGCTAAGTGCCTCTTGAGGAAGCAAGAATAGGAAGGGGAACCGTAAACAGACATCATGAAAACAGCGACCTCTGTGCCTACTGAGAACCCACAAGGAGGCAACCAAGAGGAGCTCTTGCTCAGCTGCACCAAAAAAACTTGCAGAAGTTAATGAGCAAAGCAGCAGCCATCCTGGGCTAAAACGCTCACCAACCCAGCTCTCTTCGCTGGGCTAACGAAGGCGTAGACGTCTGGAAGGCAGTCCGGGCTGGGCCGCGGTGCCTAGTAGTTCTCCCCTTTCACCCAGACTTCTGGGCCCCAGCTTCGTAACAGTTACATGGGTTGGGCTGAGATGGACTACAGACTCCTTCTGTCATCCAGAAATACCCACAATCAAGTTCTATGTGGGCCACTTTCAGATACAGAGGATACTCAGAAAATTGAAAAATTCAGGCAAGAGCTCTACCAAGGCCAAAACAAAATGGAGTTACTCCTTAACCTGTTCTGGTAATGCTTATCACGACCAAAAGATGTTCTTGCAAGGAACCAGTATCGGCTTTATCTTTAGAATTGTGGAAGTCTAAGCGTACTGTAGTATACTTAAATTCATACTTGTTAACACTTCTTTCTTTTAATACTGGTATCTTGAGCAAGTGGCTGTTTTAATATTGATGGAGTAGGATTCGTGGTGTTTTTTCTAGCTCTGTATTCCCATAAATCATTCTTTATTAAAAACAGTCTAACTCAATTTCCACATTCATATTATCTATTGCAAAAGATCTACTTATATCTTGTATAGTGATGGTCAAATGGTATCAAAGACAAATGCTGCATTGTATCAAGGAACATATTAAAGGAGAAAAAGTAACCACACACACAGAAAGGCTCTGTTTTGTCTAGCTCTGCTGTAAATTAGGTGACGCCAAACTATAATCTATTGTTTATTCTCCTCACCCAAGCAACGAAAGCAAATGTTAAAACTGGCTTCAAAAACGAAGTTGCTGTATATTCCTATTTCGTGACAGTTTTGCCCGTCACTGTTAAGCACACTGTTGGGGCTGAGGGAGGCCACGTTTCTACTTTTTGAAATAACAGCTGGCCTTGCTGGCAGCAAACAGTGCCAAGAAGGCGCCTTTGTAACTGTCCCTCGCTAAACACCGGCACAAGCACAAGGACAGGTTTCCAGGTGATGCAAGTACCGTGACTTACAATTGTTGGGATAAGGGAAGGCGTGGACAGGATGTGCTTGATAATTCTGTATCGGTCATAAAGAGGCTTTATGAGGTTCTTGTCTTGCTTAGTCACCTGGAAAACATGAAATTAATTATTGTTCCTTTCTCAAACAAGAATGAAAACATGTCAGTATTTCTAGCAGGCCAAAAAAAAAATGTTTTGAGGCCTCAGAGTAAGGGTAATAATACTCTAATGCATCAGTAATTAGGAAAAGGTAGGGCAGTCATTCATGATACCATATACGTTACATGTCAGTTTTCTTCGAGGAAAAGTTTCTTAAAGAATAGGTCCAAGTTTAGAAAGATGTGTCTA